TCCGATTTTGGCCGTCAGTGGCGATGACAATAATGTTTATATTTCTGTTCCCATCCCTGACCAGCGGTCCCCTTTGGATGGAGTACTTTGAGGTACAGCTGGATAAGTGCTATAAGAATTGGTGGACGACCTTAACCTTCATCAATAACTGGTACGACGAAAGTCAGATGTGTTTACTTCACACCTGGTATTTGTCTGCAGACATTCAACTATTTATATTCTCATTGATTTTTGTGGTCATACTCTATAAGTAAGTCCTTAATAATGATTAGTCAAATCCATATCATAACTAACTTCTATAATATTTGTAAAGAAATCCCAACTTTGGGATCAAACTTATAATTCTTGTGGCAACCGCCAACTCCCTGGCCATTGCTGTTCGTACGTATATACTCGGCCAGAATCCTACCGTTCTTTACAATACACCCGATGAACGGTAAGTATTTTAATCAAAGATTAAAAAAAATAAAATTTTAACCATTTAAATATGTGGACAGGGATGTCTACAACCAAGCATCGACCATATACGTCAACACATATATTCATTTGGGTCCATATTTTGTGGGTCTGATTCTGGGATACTTTGTTTTCAAATACAAAACATTTAAAATAAATCCAGTATTCATTTCAATAAACATCATATCATATAAATTATTAAAATAACTCACTTTCAACCACCAGTTCCTCAATCTATTCGTATGGATGTCCGCTCTATTCGGATGTTTAGGAATAATGCTATCGACGTATACCCTAAACAGGGGTGAGATATGGAATCCAATAGCGGGTGCCCTCTATGCAGGCCTACACCGGACGGCCTGGTCTTTATGTGTGGCCTGGATTATATTTGGCTGCACCACTGGAAATGGAGGTCTGTACAACTTTAATTGTATTGAATGGGAATTAACAGTTCATATGCACCACCAATAGGTCCGATCAACACATTCTTGTCGTGGCAACTGTTCGCCCCGTTAGGCAAACTTAGTTTTATGATATATTTAATGCATTTTCTGGTCATTTGGGTCCGCTATGCATATAATCGTCA